ATTATGGATAATATCACAAAGAATGAGAATTCCAAAACGATTAATTCTGTTCATGAGGAACCTGTACATAGACCAAGAAGCAGTTGTTCGAACAGAACAAGGGGATACTCTGTGGTTTAAAATGAGTAAATGTGTGCATCAGGGTTATATCCTTTTACCATGCTTATTCAATCTGTATGTTGAGCAAATAATCCGAAAAGCTGGACTATATGAAGAAGAACATGGCATCAGGATTGGAGGAAGACTCATTAACAACCTGAGATATGTAGATGACACAACCTTGTCTGCTGAAGGTGAAGAGGACTTGAAGCACTTATTGATGAATGTCAAAGACTACAGCCTTCAGTGTGGATCACACCTCAACATAAAAAAATAAAAATCCTTACAACTGGACCAGTAAGCAACATCATGATAAATGGAGAAAAAATTGAAGTTGTCAAGAATTTAATTTTACTTGGATTCACAATCAATGCCCATGAAAGCAGCAGTCAAGAAATCGAACGATCTATTGCATTGGACAAATCTGCTGCAAAAGACCTCTTTAAAGTGTTAAGAAGCAAAGATGTCAGTTTGAGGACTAAGGTGCACCTGACCCAATCTCTGGTATTTTCAATCGCCTCATATGAATGGGAAAGCTGGACAATGAATAAGGAAAAACCTAGGAAGAAGTAATGCCTTTGAATTACTGTGTTGGCAAAGAATATTGAATCTACCCTGGACTGCCAAAAGAATGAACAAGTCTGTCTTGGAAAAAGTACAGCCAGAATGCTCCTTAGAAGCAAGGATGGCAAAACTTTGTCTCACGTATTTTGGACATGTTATCAGGAGGGACCAGTACCTGGAGAAGGATATCATGCTTGGTAAAGTAGCGGGTCAGTGAAAGAGAGGAAGACCCTTAATGAGATGGATTCACACAGTAACTGCAACAATGGGCTCAACCATAGCAACGATCATGAGGACAGCGCAGGACTGAGAAGTGTCTTGTTCTGTTTACATAGGGTTGCTATGAGTTGGAATCGACTCGACGGCACCTAACAACAACAAATTGAGATATAGCTTTAATGGGAACTTGGCATCTGACCAAGAATGGCCTTCAGCTTTGAAAGGTCCAGACAGATGAGTGTAGTGAAGATGACACATACTGGGACACGACCGACACATGCCAGCAGGTCATGGAAAACATTATTCTCCATTTACTCTAAATTACTACTTTCATCTTATGCAAAAATTTGTAAACTTCAGTGAGTTGAACATTTTAAAACTAAATTAAATTGGTGTTCAGACTATTTACACTTTAGGTAGTCTTTTAAAAAGGAAGCATCTTAAATACTTCAAATAAAATTCCTCCATCTTCATAAAGAGATAGATGCTTTTATTTATTAGAAGCCTGACAATGCTTGCTCCCAGGCCGAGGGGTAGGCAGGGCTGTTTGAGTTTCGCAGGGAAAAGAAGTTGGGGGCGCTTAGTTCCCTGGGCCTTCTCTGAGGTCACAAACCTATAGGATGTGAGACTGTTCCATACCAGGTAAGACAAATTTATTGCTGGGGAAGGTTCTTGGGGTTTTGTTATTTTGCAGAGGAAACAGATGTTTACAAAATTTTAGGACTCCATTACTCGGACCAACTAAATGTTTCAACTAGATCATTTCTGGCACCTTTAGAGTTGGGATTGATTAACAGTAGCAGCCATCATCATAATCCCATGTACTCATAGGGCACTTCCCAGTAGCCCTCTCTCTCCAGAACCGCTCCCACTGGGCTACTCTGAGGGCAAGGAAGGAGGAGGGGCTTGCTGAGAAGTGGGCGGGGTCCTAATCCTTTTATAAAAGGCAGACAGGGCTGAGCCTTGGCTGACTGGGAATTCACTCCTTCCCCGTCTAGTTTGAATTCTGCCATCATCACCCAAATGCCTTCAGAGTCAGGGTGGTGAACTCAAATGCTGTCGGTGACATCAGGTCCAAGGCAGAAAATGACACGTGGCAGGAGGAGGTCCTCCTGGCTACCTGCGGTTTTCATCACTCTGCCCAGCAGCCAAAGAGCTGCTCTTTTTAAGAAACAAACAAATAGATCAAAGGAGAGAGTGGGGGGAAACAGCTTTGTGGCAGGATTTTTCCCCCAAAGCTCTTCAAAAGCCTGCGCTAGGGGAGGGGGAAGAGCTGGCTGCATTTCCTCCTGCTATTATCTGCTTTGTCAGCCTGGTGGTGTTGGGCTGCCTGCCCTCCTGCGGGAGCAGCAACGCCCAGCTTTCGGATGAGTCATCCTCCGACTGGGCAGGCGTGATTTTAAATGTGCACGTGTGTCCCTCTAATTGCACACTCAGAGACAGCAGGGCGGGCACTGGGTGGGGCCGGGCGGAGGAAGAGTGAACTGGTCGGGATGGATGCGGCGGGGGGTGGGGGTGGCGGTGGAGGATTGGTGCGGCGCGGGGAGGGGGAGCCAAACAGGGAGAACGCTTGCTGCTAGCAATCCACAAAGTAGGGGAGCCTCGGGGGCCGGGCCACTCCAATAACACTGTCGTTTATTGATTTGCTATGTGTCCACCAGGTACCAGCTCCAGACACTGCCGCTCACCTTCAAAGCTCACCTCCAAAACGGTAACAAAACAGGTTTCCACTTTTCAGATGCAGTAATAGAAGCTCTGAGAGTTAGGAGCTAGGAAATAGCAGGATGGGCACACTCCACTGGGGTGGTGTCACGCTGCCCATATAGGGAAAGTGCCCACCTGTTAAAGCATTGCTGCCGACTCATGATGACCCCATGTGTGTCAGAGTAGAACTGTGCTCCATAGGGTTTTCAATGGCTGATTTTTTGGAAGTAGATCACCAGGCCTTTCTTCTGGGGCACCTCTGGGTGGACTTGAACCTCCAACTTTTCAGTTAGCAGCCGAGTAAGCTGTTTGCACCACCCAGGGACCCTGCCCATGTGTTAGGGGCTCCCATTTCCCCAGTATCGTCTCTTCCAGGTCTCGTCCTTTGCTCTCTGTGGCCCCAAATTTCCACCTTGAGTTAAACAACACAGGCCAAAAGACAAATGTCTCCAGAAACTCCTTGTTGAGCTGCGTCATCAGTGAAGCTCCCTGTGAGGAGGTCATTCTCTGGAGAGGCTGGTCCTGAAGAGCCAGAGATATGGGGGCTGGGGTGGGGGGGGGCCATGTCAAGGTACCTGGGACAGCGTCAGTGGGACAGGCTGTAGGGGAGGGCCGGCAGGGTAGGACTGGGCCTGGAGGGGACAGAAGAGAAAGCCCAGGAAAACTGTCCCCACCTTGACAGGAAGCTCCTGGTGATGCCCACCGGCCAGCTGGGCTGGGAGGGCCCTGAAGGACTGGCTTCCAGAAGCAGGGTGATGAGGTCCTGACTTTGCCCAAGTTTACACCTCTGATATATGCCAACCATTAACATGACAAATAGGATTAATATTATTTATAATTACAACATCACCTTGGGTTTTATGGGGCATTTTTCCTCCATAAACACAGGCTGCTTTCATATGTAGCTTCTCATTTCCTACTCACAAAGCCTGCTTTGGGGGCATCTATAATTTTCTTCATTTTACAGTTGGAGAAACTGGCTCCAGAGAGAAGGCGGAGCTCTGTGAATCCAATGCAGTCCCCAGGCCCCTGCTCAGCCAGCCCACTGCTCACGAGGGCCTTTGAGGATAATTCAGATTGGCTCTTACCTCTCCCTGCCCAAGCCTTTCAAACTCACCTGGGCTTTCTCCTTGCAGAAAGAATCTAGATTCCTTCACTTCCTAGCTTTGTGACTAGTCAACCCTTCAAGCCTGGTTTTTTAAGCTGTGAAATTGGGGGACTAATAATGCTTACTCTGCAACAGCGTTGTTCAGGAGAAATATAATGTGAGCCGAGAACGTGAGCAACGTAGGTAATTTAAAATTTCCTAGTTGCTACATTTGAAAAAGTTAAAAGAAACAAGTGAAAGTTCAAAAATGTATTTGATTTAATAAATCTATCCAAAATATTACCATTTTGATATGTAATCAAAGTAATTAGTAATGAAACCTTTAAATTCTTATAACTTACTGTCCACTGTCCATGAAACCAGCTGTGTATTTTGCACTGACAAAAAAAAAAAAAAAAAAAACCACCACCATTGCCGTCGAGTCGATTCCGACTGACAGCACACCTCAATTCGCACTGGCCACCTCTCATGCGCTCACTAGCCCTATATCACCAGTGGCTGTCGTGTTGGACAGCGCGGATGTCAGGCTTCTGTGAAGATGAGGTGACATCATGCGTGAGACGCAGTTACATGGGCTAACACACACGTGGCTATTACATCCCTCCTCTCTCTCTCTCTCCCACACACACAGAATTTTCCATTTAAGTCGCTTTTACAAGGATCCAAGAGCCCGAAGCCAACATCTGACAACCCCGCATCCTCGAAGCCCCCATACCCCTCCGAGGCCCACGATGCTCCTTACGTGTGAAGGCTATGCAAAGCCGCCCACCCGCCAGCCTTCGTTCCCCGCTCCAGGGACCCGCCTCGCTCCCCAGCCCCCACCGGAATGGAAGGGGAACGAGGCGCGGAGTCTGGATCCCTGCCGGGATGCAGGGCCCCTTCGAGAGCAGCTGTGGACCCAGCTGAGAAACGCAACCCCCGGCCCCGGGACCCCAGACTTCAGCCCCTCCTGAGCCAACGCAGGTAGAACAGGAGCTGCGGGGCTGCTGGAGGGCCCGGCGCGGGACGGCGGCCTCGCCCAGGGCCAGGAGGGGGTGGCAGTTCTGGCCCAAGGCCCAGGCACCGCCCTTGGCCACCGAACCCGGGACCTGGGCACCCCCGAAGCACGCGCGCCGCGCCCGGGCTCCCCCTCGCGGTGCCGCAGTCCACCCGCACCCCGG